CCTTTTGTCGCTTTAATATCTCCCTTGAAAAAACTTACTTGCAGTTTACTAAGGCAGTATGCATCACTGAAAAAGCAGAACGGCAAATTGCTTAGGAACAAAATGCTGAATTAATTATTTTAAGTTTACAAATATTTACAATAGTGTGTTTTTAATGATTAGACTAGAACATTTAAAGCACTTAGTCTAATAAAATCAGCATTGTTACTGTTGGTGACCATCACAATAATTGATTATTATTATTGGATGCTTAATATTATGTGACAAATGCTTGATGAAAAACAGGACCTTTACATAGTCTCAAAGCAGCTCTCAAAAGTATACTTACCGCAAAAGAAAATACAGCTACATTGTAATAGAGAAATCTTGCAGTGCCACTATTACCAAGTGACCTATTTAATATCTCTAGGAAAAGAACAAATGAACTTCGTGTGCCTCCTGATAGATTACACTGAGAAGAATACAAAATCACTTCTGTGATATTCCATCAAAATACAAAAGCTGAATGTAACCATGAGAAAATATCATACAAGGCCAAACTGAGAAATTCTGTATCCTTCATAAGTGTTAAGGTTATGAAAGACCAAGGAGGACTAAAGACCTATTTCAAATTAAAGGATATTAAAAAGACCTCACAGCTAAATATAACGCGTGCTATCCTAGACCTCATGTAAGATATTAAAAGAGAGATCATCAAAATTTGGATAAGGGCTACAGGTTAGGTAATTTTATCATATCAGTGGTGACTTTCTGATTTTTATCATTATACTGTGGTTGTGTAAAAAAGTCCTTATTTAGAAAGGCATAAGGCATGTGCTTGAAACTTATTGTCAAAACTTTCAGAAGATTTTACCTGTATATATGCATACACATGTATATAACATATATACACACATGTATGCATACATATACAACTGTATATAGAATTCTCTGAACCATTTCATATAATTTCATACATATATATAAAACTTCATATATACATATTTTATATGTATACTCTATGTGGAAATTTCCTCACATTTGCAGAATCTGAGCTGTGAAATTTACATAGGAATTCTTTGTGCTGATACTGCCATAAGTCTAATTATTTCCAAATAAAATGTTAAGAGGGTAAATATAAAGTCAGTCTCAGAATTATTAGTAATTACAAGTAGGTAGTGAATCCTGAGAGAGCCACAGTTTTAAATTTGCTATAGTCATAGTAGTTTTGCTTAGACGTTGCTGATTTTGTTCCCAAGAATTCCTGACCAAGGTTTTTGTCAGTCATACCTCACATAATTTTGTCAGTCATGGTTCACATGTTTTTGTTTCTATAAAATTTTATTCTCACTATTGATTTTATTAGAAATTCCTTGGGTGCAAAATAGTTTGACCTTATCCCGAAGAACACATTTATGAAACATTTCCTGAGCCCCTTCATCTGGAAATCTTGACATACTGACTGTATCAACTCAGGAAAAAGTGAAGAGAAGTTATCAGGTAGAAATGTATTCTTTTATGAAAAATGAAAGTCTAAAGTAAATTTTCTGCAACTCTAACAAAGTTTCATAATCTCACATAACTAATTCTGAAAAACCAAATTATTTGTAGTATAACTGCTGGGACACCCATATTTCTATTATTGGACCCATTTTTCTGGTCATGTTGGATTAAGCCACAGTATATATTTGACTTAACAGGGGCAACTAATTTGCCAGCTAAGGAGTGGACCCATCTTTTAAAGTAGTTTAACTCAAGAGTCATATACTGAAAGCTCGGGAACTGAAGTTTCATTTAGAGTCAAGGCGTGAAACTAGCATAATAAGCTGAATAAAGTTAAGAAGAAAAGAGACTATGAACCAACAGAAACATCAAATTTTTGAATTAGAGAGTCAAGTAGAAAAGAGGGGCAGTATTTCTTCCAACAGTAAGTCAAGAGGAACAGATGCAGAATAGCCACCTCCCATCCTGATAACACATTAAATCCTTTTTCTGTATCACCAAAGCCACAAATATCTTTCCTGTGAAACTCTCAATGGCCTTGCAAAAAATTCTACATTTGGGTGGTCTTAGTTTCTTTTCCTTGAAACAATAGGCCCTTAACTAAACTTTTCTTAACTAATCTTTTCTACTCCTATTGCTCAAAGATAGTTACTGAAGGAGTAACCAAATAATAGATAGCAACTTTAAAATCAAACTAAACAGAGAGGTAGCCAGTTTACAAGACTCTTACATATAATACATTTGCATCCAGTTGGGTAGAGGAAATATAATACTGAGAGAATATTTGGATTATGGTCCTAGTTCTGTCACTTGTCAGCTAAATGGCTTTAAGTAATACTTTAATAAAATATATATGTTAATACATTTTCTTCTATACACTGAAGAAAACTCTCATTCATATTACAGAGTGCTAAGGTTTTGGCTGTGTCCCCACTTAAATCTCATCTTGAATTGTAGCTCCCACATTTCCTACATGTTGTGGGAGGGACCCAGTGAAGATAATTGAATCACGGGGGAGGTTTCCCCATACTGCTCTCCTGGTAGTAGATAAGTCTCATGAGATCTGATGGTTTTATAAGGAGAAACCCCCTTCACTTGGCTCTCATTCTCTTCTCTTGTCTGCCACCACGTGAGACATGCCTTTCACTTTCCACCATGATTGTGAGGCCTCCCCAGCCCCGTGGAATTGCGAGTTCATTAAACCTCTTTTTCCTTACGTAATTACCCAGTCTTGGGTATGTCTTCATCAGCAGTGTAAAAAGGAACTAATATACTGAGCTATGAGAATACAATATAACATTGACAATACTTTAAATTACCTGTCACATTCTAAAGCTATTACATAATTACTAATGCAAGAGCCACATTTTATATGAGCCTGAAAGTTAACTTTGAGGACAAATTCTCACACTATCACATTTGCATTAAAGTTAAAACATAAAATACTGGAGGGAAGTCACTCAGAGTACAGTAATTGTACAACAGCAAGTAAAATGTTATCCTCATTTTCTTTCTCCCTATACTTACGGAGTAGCCTAAATTTCAATTCCTGCTTTCTCTGGACTGTCACAGTATTGCATCTCCATTCTCACTACTTTCTTATCTTTGACTGTCATAAATGTTTGTAGAATTGAAAAAAGATAGACAAAATCTTCTCTTCTAAATTATGGCAAACTAGAAATTATTAATTTTATAACTTTGATAGTTTAGATTTGAAATATGAGTTTAAATTATGATTCTGCAATGAAATTATCTGCATGGATTCAAAAAATTACTGGGTCAAAGTAAGCCAGGTGTGATTTTTGGGTTAAATGAAACTTTTTATGTTATAGTGAATTCTGCTTTAGATCTTTAATTAGATTGGATTTCTCTACAGCAATTTTGAGACATACTAACAGAGTTTACTTTATAGATCTACCACAGGTTCTGGTATATAATTAATGATGTTATTTAACATCACTGTTTACAAGTTATATAAATTCACCTTCAGACAGTGCTTCATAGCCATTTTGCCAATAGGATTCTGGGAAACTCTCCTCAGATCTATGGTTAAAAACCTGCCTTTACAACCATCTAGCTGGAAGCCATTATCCTAAGCAAACTAACACAGGAACAAAAAGCCAAATACTGCATGTTCTCACTTATAAGTGGAAGCTAAATTTGAGTGCATGTGGGCACAATGAAGGGAACAACAGCCACTGGGGCCTACTTGAGGACGGAGGTTGAGAGGAGAGTGACAAGCAAAAAGCTATCTATCAGGAACTATGCTTTTTAACTGGGTGACAAAAGAATCTGTACAACAAGCCCCTGTGGTACATAATTTACCAGTATAACAAACCTGCACATATACCCCTGAACCTAAAATAAAAGTTAGAAAAAAGTACCTTGGGAAGGCCTATGGTTGGCAGCCTTGGAAAGGCCTTTGATTGGCAGTCTTGGAAAGGTCTTTGATTGGCTATCTTGAAAGGCCTGTGATTGACAGCTTTGGCAGCCCATGAATACTAGGCCCATCATTTTTGAATTCAGAAAGGTGGATTTAGGATTCTGAGGGAAGGGTTGCTATGCCTAGAAAAATAAAGAAGAAGGTAATATTTTCTGGGAAAACAATAGATTTCTGTTTAGGAACACCATTCAAAATATTTAACAGTTGGTAATTCGTGATTATCAATCAGTCAGAACCAAGACGTGATAAAACTGCCAGAGAAAATGTTGGAGGCTCCGTACTGGACAGGCTCCTTAGTTGCAGGCTGACTCCCTCCTCTCCTTCAGATTTTATTAAAATATCATTTTCCCCTAAGTCCTTCTTTGACCACCCTTGTCTCCATAATAACTTACGTATAATATAATTTACTTAACCAATTAAAATGTTATTATATGTATACTCCAACCCGAATGTATCTTTATGGAGTCAAAGATTTGACCTTTTAATGCTGCATCTTTGGAATCAAGATGAGTACAAATGATACACAATCAATAAATACTTATTAAATAGATTAATCGTGTTCTTTGTTTAGAATACTGTTGAAATTATTCTCCCTTATTAATCTTGGTGTCTCACAAGAAAAGGGAATTAGACAGATGGCTTCATTCATGAAAATCTATCAGTATTAGGTATTAAGAAAATACCCAATTTCCACAGAAAGCTGGAAAAGATAGCATGAGCTAAGTAACTTACTTCTGTGTGGAGAAATTTGTTATCTTTGTAAATTAAAAAAAAAGTTTAAATACACTCATATTTTGAAATGTAGGCACACATATGTATGTCATATATATATATTATATTTTTGTATTAGTCAAGGCTCTCTAGAGGAATAGAATAGGACATATGAATATATGAAGGAGAGTTTATTAAGGATAATTGACTCACATGATCACAAGGTCAAGTCCCAGGATAAGCTATCTGAAAGTTGAGGAGCAAGGGAGCCAGTAGTGGTTCAATGCAAGTTCCCAATCCTCAAAAGTAGGGAAGCTGACAGTACAGCCTTCAGTCTGTGGCCGAAGGCCTAAGAGCCATGGGTGTACATCTAAGAGTCCAAAAGCTGAGGAACTTGGTGTCTGATGTTCAAGGGCGGGAAACATCCAACACGAGAGAAAGATGAAAGCCAGAAGACTCAGCAAGTCAGCTTCTCCCACCTTCTTCTGCCTCCTTTATTCTAGCTGCACTGGCAGCTGATTAGATGGTGCACACCTACTTTGAGGGTGTGTCTGCCTCTCCCAGTCTACTGGCTCAAATGTTAATCTCCTCTGGCAACACTCTCACAGACACATCCAGGATCAACACTTTGCATTCTTCAATCCAGTCAAGTTGTCACTTAATATTGACCATCACAATATTATATATATATAAAATATAAATATTTATATATATTTATTTTATGCCTATAAAATATATATTATATATAAATTATAAGTATCTATATTTTTTCATCTCATTTTATACATATATAAGGTTTTTTTTCTCTCTCTCTCTCTTTCTGTCTTTACTCCAGAATCCTAGTCTATTAAATAGGAATCTCCATTGTTAATGCAAGCAAAACCACCTTCATGCTTGCCTTTGGAGCTATAATCAAAGTTATCATAGTGGAGACTACTGGAGCAGACTTGGATGTTTTCAAAGCAGGCATCTCTACTTCCTAGGAGAGAATGGCCCCTAGGAATCCCGAGTACATGAAGTACAGAGACTGAACTGTAGTTCTATGTGTTCATTTCCCCTCCATCTGCTTTTCCTAGTTTCTCAGATCTTGATTCAGTGACCAACAGGTGCTAGCCTGTCCCAGTTTTCAAGCCAATATAACACATGCCACAGAAAATAATTATGCTAATAGTTTTCACTTACTTTGCCTCTAATCTCTCTCATTTGGGGGGTTTTAATATAATCTTGTTGTGGGGAAAAGGAGCTTAAACTCTTATTTTTATTTTAGTATTAGTCTTGCTTTGGGTGTGGGTGTAGAACAACTACAACCTGAGATTTCTCAGCTTTCTGTTTGCTGCTGGACCATTCAACCAAATCCATAACACTGGCTAGTATGTAATGACCGGTGTCGGGGTAAATGCTAAGACTCAGGACTGTTTATGTGATCTCTTTATACAATAGTGTGTGAACGCCCATTAGCTAAGCCTTCTTCATAAACACTGCCACTTTAATTCATGCCCCTTGTGATACAGCTCCAACGAGTGGATGAACACCAGGGTTCTTCCTCAGGCTTCAAATTGGATAAAATGACATGGATACACGTGGAGTGGTTTTAAGGAGCATAGAGTTTAATAGGCAAGTAAGAAGGAAAAAGATCTCCTGTACAGAGACAGAGGGAGCCGGGCTCCAAATTTGAGAGAGGAAACCCTGTGAAAAGTAGAAAAGTAGCTGTTTATATGAGGAGGCTGGAGGAGGTGGTGTCTGATTTACATAGGGCTAAAGGGATTGCTTTGGCCAGGCATGTCATTCATGTAGCCTGCCCCTACCACCTTAGTCTTTTAATATGCAAATGTAGGGCACCAGGATGTTCTACACATTTGAGAATACGTGGGGGTGGCCATGTTGCCTGGCATATATGAGGGCAAGAGCAAGAGCAGGAGGGCAGAATCTTGCTGGACCCAGTTTCTAATGGCTTGCATTTGTATATCAGAGGTTGCCAGTCGAGCTCTAACAGCCTGGGCTTTCCCACTACACAGGAAATATTTCTGGAGCTACTTTAGAGGAAACAAAAACTTCCAAGGACCCCCATTTTTCTATCTGACTAAAATAATTTCTTAACAACTTTTATAACACTTGCTGCCTAATGATCTAGAACCATATTCAGGATCTCAGGCTGGGCTTAGTGGTTCAGGCCTGTAATCCCAGCACTTTGGGAGGCTGAGGTGGGTGGATCACTTGAGATGGGAGTTAGAGACCAGCCCGACTAACATGGAGAAACACCCTCTCTACTAAAGAATCAAACTTAGCTGGCCGTGGTGGCACATGCCTCTAATCCCAGCTACTCAGGAGGCTGAGGCAGGAGAATCACTTGAACCTAGGTGGCAGAGGTTTCAGTGAGCCCAGACTGTGCCATTCCACTCCAGCCG